GCAAAAAATATCAAATGGTAAAAAGAAAGCATATTTAACAAATGGTGCTAGCATAACTGGCTATCAACATGTAGAAAAATGAAAATAGACCCATATCTATCACCATGCACAAAACTCAAGTTCAAATGGATCAAAGAACTCAACATAAAGCCAGCCACACTGAACCTCATAGAAGAGAAAGTAGGAAGTACACTTGAATGCATTGGCACAGGAGACCACTTCCTAAATATAACCCCAGTAGCACAAATACTGAGAAAAACAATTAATAAATGGGACCTCCTGAAACTGAAAACCTTCTGTAAAGCAAAGGACATGGTCAACAAGACAAAACAATAGCATATAGAATGGGAAAAGGTCTTCACCAACCCCACATCAGACAAAAGGTCTGATCTCCAAAATATACAAAGAACTCAAGAAATTAATCATCAAAAGAACAAATAATCCAATAAAAAATGGAGTACAGACCTAAACAGAGAACTCTCAACAGAGGAATCTAAAATGGCTGAAAGACACTTAAGGAAATGCTCAACATCCTTAGTCATCAGAGAAATGCAAATCAAAACAACTCTGAGATTCCATCTTACACCAGTAAGAATGGCCAAGATCAAAAACACTGATGACAACTTATGCTGGAGAGTTTGTGAGGTAAAGGGAACACTTCTGTATTGCTGGTGGGAATGCAAGCTTGTACAGCCCCTTTGGATATCAGTGCGGCAGTTTCTCAGAAAATTAGGAAACAACCTTTCTCAAGACCCAGTAATACCACTTTTGGGTATATACCCAAAGGATGCTCAATCGTGCCACAAGGACATGTGCTCAACTGTGTTCATAGCAGCATTATTTGTCATAGCTGGAACCTGAAAACAACCTAAATGCCCCTCAACCAAAGAATGGATAAGGAAAATGTGGCACATTTACACAATGGATTAGTGCACAGCAGAAAAAAAAATGACATTTTGAAATTTGCAGGCAAATAGATAGAGCTAGAAAACATTATTCTGAGTGAGGTAACCCAGACCCAGAAAGACAGTTATCATATGTACTCACTCATAAGTGGTTTTTAACATAAAGCAAAGAATACCAGCCTACAAATCACAATCCCATAGAACCTAGACAACAATGAAGACTCTAAGAGAGACATACATGGATCTAATCTACATGAGAAGTAGAAAAAGACAAGATCTCCTGAGTAAACTGGGAGCATGGGGACCTTAGGAGAGAGTTGAAGGGGAGGTGAGAGACAGGGAAGGGAGCAGAGAAAAATGTAGAGCTCAATAAAAATCAATAAAAACATAAAAAAAGATACATGGAGTTATTCCATTTCTTTTGTATCTGTTGAGGTTTGCTTTGTTAGCAATTATTTGGTCAATTTTTTGAGAAGGTTCTATGAGGTGCTAAGAAGAAGGTAATTTTCTTTTGTGTTTGGATGGAATGTTCTATAGGTGTCTGTTAAGTCCATTTGAGTCATAGCATCTGTTAGGTCCCTTATTTCTCTGTTAATTTTTTGTCTGGCATACCTGTCCAGTGGTGAGAAAGCGGTGTTAAAATCTCCCACTATTAGTGTGTGGGGTTTATGTATGATTTAAGCTTCAGAAGTGTTTCTTGTAGGAGGAGGGCCTGCTTGTTTGTCTTGGCTGCCTAGAATAAAAAAATCACACAGAAATTGTATTAATTAAATCACTGCTTGGCCCATTATCTCTAACTTCTTATTGGCTAACTCTTACATCTTAGTTTAACCCACTTCTATTAATCTGTATATTGCCATGTGGCAGTGACTTAATGGGTAAAATTCTTAGCTGACTTTGCTTTCTTCCTCCCAGAATTCAGTTCTGTCTTCCCTGTCTACCTAAGTTCTGCCCTATCAACAGGCCAAGGCATTTCTTTGTTCATTAATGAAGGCAACACATAGATAGAAGAACGTCCTACACCAGTTTTTTTTTAACATATGAGGGTGTCCTTGTTGTATTCAAGGCATAGATGTTCAGTATTGAGATTTCCTCCTGATGGATTTTTCCTGTGACTAACATGAAATGTCCTTCTTTCTCTCCTTTTATTGAATTTTAGTTTGAAGCCTATTTTGTTAGATATTAGGATAGTTGCACCAGCTTGTTTCTTAAGTCCATTTGATTGGAAAATATTTTTCCAACCCTTTACTCTGAGGCGATGTCTGTTGGGGTGTGTTTCTTGTATACAGCAGAAGAATGGATTCTGTTTTGGTATCCAATCTGTTAGCTTTTTATAGGTGAGTTGAGTCCATTTATATTAAGGGGTATTAATGACAAATGATTGCTAGTTTCTATTATTTTAGTTTTGTTGGTGATGTTATTGTGTGTGTCTTCACCTTCTTTGGGATTTGCTGCTATGAGACCATCAATTGTCTTTGTTTTTGTGGATGTAGCTAACTAACTTCCTTGGGTTGGAGTTTTCCTTCTAGTACTTTGTGTAGGGCTACGTTTGTGGTTAGGTATTGGTTAAATTTGGTTCTTCCATCTTGTTTTGTCCTTCTATGGTGATTGAAAGTTTTGCTGGTATGATAGTCTGGGCTGGCATCCATAGTCTCTTAGTGTCTGCATAATGCTTGACTAGGACCTTCTGGCTTTCATTGTTTCCATTGAGAAGTCAGGTGTAATTCTAATAGGTTTGCCTTAATATGCTACGTGGCTTTTTTCCTTTGCAGCTCTTAATATTCTTTCTTCATGCTGTAGTTATTGTGTAGTTCTGTATGTTTGGTGTTTTGATTATTATGTGGCAAGGGGACTTTTATTTTTTTGATCCAGTCTACTTGATGTTCTGTAAACTTCTTGTATCTTCATATGCATATCTTTCTTTAGGTTGGGAAAGTTTTCTTCTATGATTTTGTTGAATATATTTTCTATGTTTTTGAGTTGGACTTTTTCTCCTTCTTCTATTCTTATTATTATTAGGTTTGGTCTTTTCATGGTGTCTCATATTTCCTGGAAATATTATGTTAAATTTTTGTTAGATTTAATGTTTTCTTTGACCGATGAGTCTATTTCATCTCCCATATCTTTACCTCTTGAGATTCTCTCTTCCATCTTGTATTCTGCTGTTTGTGCTTGCATTTGTGGTTCCTGATCATTTTCCCATATTTTCTGTTTCCAGAATTCTCTTAGTTTGTATTTTCTTTATTGTCTCTATTTTGGTTTTCAAGTCTTGAATCATTTCTTTCATCTGTTTGATTGCTTTTTCTTGGTTTCCTTTAAGGGATTTGTTGATTTTTTTTCATTTTTTTTTGTCTTTTTCTCCATTTCCTTGAGGGAATTTTTCATTTCCTCTTTAAGGGCCTCAAACATTCTCCTAAAGTTATCTTTTTAAAATTTATTTATTTATTATATATAAAATATTCTGTCTGCGTGTATGCCTGCAGGCCAGAAGAGGGCACCAGACCTCATTACAGATGGTTGTGAGCCACCATGTGGTTGCTGGGAATTGAACTCAGGACCTTTGGAAGAACAGGCGGTGTTCTTAACCGCTGAGCCGTTTCTCCAGCTTCCAAGTTATTTTTTAGGTCATTTTCTTCTGCTTCATCTGTATTGGGGTGTTTGTGTTTCCCAGATTACGACCCCCAGAGAGAGACCACCAGAGAGGCCCAGACTGTAATAAGCAAGGTTTAACCAGCATAATACAAACATGTTTGGGACTCCTCTCCATCCCGGTTACAACAAGGTAGAGAGGAGTTGTGTCTCCTCTGTGGGGTGAGCTTTTAAAGGCATAACTACAAAGAGAATCTTTGAAGCTGCTTTGGCACGGGTGCAGGGACTTTTGCTCCCTCCCATTTTGCTAAGTCAGCTTTTTCCTTGTTCTTAGAGCAAGGCCAGTGTTCCTGAGTTAGGCCATCTCTATCAGCCTGTACCAGGTGGTTGGCTGGGCTGAGCTAAGTGACCTTGTGCTCGGAATCTCTAGGGTGGGAGAGGGGAAGGCCACTATCTTCCTGGAAAAACATTTTGCTAGGAAATTCCCTTTGGGAATAAGGGGTGAGGTCCCACAGTGTTCAAGTCCTGCTGTTGTAAAGCCATTAGTTTTTGTTGGTGTCACATTGTTCTCTGTGGTGTTGAGTGTGTGCTTGTCTACCCATCTTTTCCTCTGATTGGTGTAGTTGGGGCTGTGTCTCTGATGATCAGCCTTTCAGCTGCCAGTGGATCCAAGGCTCAGATGGTTGCTCCTCCTGGTGTTGTCAGGGCCAGGGTTCCAGTCACCGGGGGTGGGGGAGGGTCACTGGGCCTTCTGGATGTCACTTGGCACTCCCAGGGGTTGTTCTGTAATCCTGGAGGTCTTTCAGGCCTGCTCCCAGGGAGGTTGCTGGCTCGGGCCTGCTCCCACTGGGGTTATAGATCCAATGGAGGTCCCTGGCTCTGGCCAGGGCCTGCAGAGGTCTCTGGTTCCGGCCTACTGCCTTGGTGGTTGCTCCCTTGTGGAGGTCACTCCTCAGGCCTTCTCTAACAGAGGTCCATAAAATATTTAATGTTCAAAAGAAATAAATTAGGCTGGAGAGATGGCTCAGAGGTTAAGAGTACTGACTGCTCTTCCAGAGGTACTGACTGAATTCCCAGCAACCACAAACCATGGTTTGTGTAAACAAACATGCAAGCAGAACATTGTATACATAATAAATAAATAAATCTTTTTTTTTTTTTAAAGAAATGCTGATCAGTGATGGTTCATGTCCTTAATTCATCACGCGGGAGGCAGAGGTAGGCAGATCTCTGTGAATTCAAGGACGGCTTGGTCTATAGAGTGAGTGCCATGACAGGCTTCAAAGCTACAGAGAAACCCTGCCTCCAAAGACCCAAAAGAGAAGAAGAAGAAGAAAAGAAATGAGCTATCAAGTCCGGAGAAGACAGGGAAGGACCTTAAGTACATATCATTAGCCACAATGGGATATCACTACGTAGCCATCAGAACACAAAAATGATAAAATAGTAGACGGTGACCGGATTGTTAGATCTCGGGTACATTCATTTCCACACAAAACCTATCAATGACTGATTACAGTATCTTTATTTAAAATTGATAAACCCGGAAGCGAATGCGATGTGCTTGAGAGGGTAAATGGAAAAACTGTGGTCCATTCAGACAAGGATATGTTATAGTGCTAGAAAGAGCTGAACATTAGCCTTAGCGAGAAGAAGGGGTGTTTTCTTGGTTCGGTGCTGAGTTAAGAGTCAAATGCAGGCGTTACGACTTTTGTGCTAGGTCACATCGCCACACACATACATTGAGTGTTAAGGAGTAATATATTTGCCTCAAATGGTATATTAAATATTAAAACTTTATTAAACAGTAACACCCATACAACTGTAGCTGAATTGTTTAAATAGGATGCTGGCCCCGCCATATCAGAGATATAAATGCTATAAACATTATTTTGAAAATATGCAATTAGTTGGTCAGGCTTAACCTGTGTAATATCACATGAAAGTCATTATAGAATAAGCAATAAATATTACTTAGTATAAAGTTTATTCACATGTATAAAAAGTAAATGTAACAAGAAGTTCATTAAAATAAAACACAGCTATTTTTTAGGAAGGCTATGCATTTAAAAATGGATTGCTTTTTTCAGACAATACGAATACTGATAACAGTTGTACTGGTTAACTCCAAACTGTTAAGGACCTGTTTGTAAAGCAAAACATGGCAGAAACACAGTTCATCAGACTGAAGGCATCAACATGTATTATATATGTTCCAGCTGACCAAAGACAACATCTACAAAAGGTAATTATTTTTATTTTTATCTTACTTTAATTAAAAATAATTTTAATTGCATTTATTTTCTTATTGGAGGGTGGCGAATGTATGCATGCCACTGCACACATGTGGAAGCCATCAGAGATCAGTTGGCAGGAGAAACTTGTGAGACCTGGGGATTGAATTCAGGTAGTCCGTCTTAGCAGCAAGTGTCTTTACCCACTGAGCCTTCTCTTCAGCCCAGCATTGAAATTTGTTCACTTGGGGTTGGGGATCAAACCCAGGTGCCCGGTATAAGCAAAGTGTGTATTCCACCACAGTTCCCTCAGCCCAATATAGTATTTGGTTTTTTTGGCTTTGGTTTTTCTTTTCTGTTTCTTTGTTTCTTTCCTTCTTTCATCCTTTTGTTTGAGACAGAGTTTCATTCTGTAGTCAAGGTTGGCCTGGAAGCTGTATCAATCTTTTTCCCTTAGCTTCCTAAGTACTGGTATTTCTGGTATATGTCCGCATGCCTGTCTCCAAAAATCTAATCTTTAAAAAATTACAGAAATACTTGACATTCCCCTAATAGCATAAATGTCATCCATAACATTTCAGATCAAACAACGAGTAAAATTTAATTCACATTCAATTAAAACAAAAAGATTATGAATAATATGATTTTTTGTTAAGCACGAGTAAATCTTTTACCATTAAAATTCTCCTGTACATTTAGGAGGAGTACACATACAAATAAATTATATGAGAAATAGAAAAAATCTGATGAGAAATTTTGAGATCAATGTAAGGGGGGTGTTGGTACAAATCACTGCTAGGTGTCTGGCAACGCCAACGTCACCACAAGAAAGAAACACGTCTGGAGGTAAGTGGGAAAGCAAGGCGCAGAGGACGGTGATCCTCTCCAGCTGTGGCTCGCTCTGGGAGTCCCTCCCCCGCCTCTCACTCAGGAGCACATTGCTAACAGATGCGCAGCTCCCACAGCCGGAGCTCGTGCTCTTTCCCTGTCCTACGAAATGGAGCTTTATAGCTGCGTCTTTGTCACTTTCAAATCTGATTATAGCCATATTCTATCCATTTCCTAATTGTAACGGAAGAAAAACTGGTCTATCAAAAATAAAACCTATGCGAAAACAGACCTAATGTTTCACAACAGTCCACTCCCCGGAGAAGAAGCCGAAACTAAACAACAGACCGAACCGCTCCGCATTAGCCACACTGAACAGCTCCAGAGGCACCACGGGAAGGGAGCCGGCAGTGCGACCCAAGTCTGTGGTGGCTTTACACCGAGAGATCCCTTTCAGTTTTCCGGTGCTTGCTATCAGTGGTTCTGTTACAGTTTTCTGTTGGCAGTCCAAGTATCCTGACACCTAGATGCTCTAGAAACACCAGTGATTTCACAGTTTTCGTGGTGAATTTTGAGATCCCTTCAAGTTAGGGTAGACGGTAAATGTAAGGCTGTAGCAGGGACAGTGTGAGGCTGTCACAGGTCCTGAAGCTAACTTTGGGGTTAGACTTGCGGAGGCAATAGACTATTCCAAATTAGGATTCAGGAAAAGAACAGGGTATGGTGTGTGTGTGGGGGGGGGGCAGGGGTTAAACTCTTCCCTATCATGAGCGAGGCCCTGGATTCTAATCCCCAGCACACTTGGGACACAGAGGCAAGTGGATCTCTGAGTTCCAGGCTAGCCTGATCCACAGATGGAGTTCCAGGACATGCGTGCATATCTGTGTGAGTGTATGCCACAAAAGTTTAGGTGCCTGAAAAGACCAGAAGGCAGCACTGGATACCCCGCCCCCTGGAGATGGCATTATAGGTGGCTGTGAGCAGCCCAATATGGGTGCTTGGATCCAAACTTGGGTCCCCTGGAAGAGCAGCGAATACTCTTAACCACTTGAACAATCTCTCCCACTCGCCCTTGTCTTTTTATCTGTATTTGTCCTATGTACTTAGGATTGACCTCTCCTGTAGAGTGTGAGATGGGACTAGATGAAGTGGATTACTCACCACAAACCCAGCTTTCGCCAACCTAGCAGATTTCAGACAAGTCATGCCTTAGCTGTGCTGGTTACAAAGTGAGCAAGGTCAGTCCTAGAAACCCTCTCAGAAGAGAACTAAAGTCAGCGTCAAGCACATAGTTATACGAGGAAAGGTGTTATGGAGAGAAGATACGAAGAACAGAATGTTAGAGGCAATATGGGTGACTTAAAAACACTTCTAATTACATGAAAGTGTTGGCAGATGATTTATTTGTGACATGCAGCCTATAGGTCTGAAAATGTGAAAGTATAAAAGTTTCCAGTCTCTAAGGACTGCTGTCCTCCTTTTATCTGCCCTAATGAAGATCCTGCCGTCTTGTGTTTGCTTTATCTGGGACAAGAGCTGCCTAATTACTCCACGTGACCTTTCTATGTAGCCCAGGCTGTGCTCAAACACCAGGCTGATCCTAAGTGGAGAGACTGCTGGAGTGTCACACCAGGTCCAACCAATCACAATGCTATAAAAGAAACACACACACACACTTACATTCACACACTGCAAAATGATATGGATTTTCTAAATATTTAATTTGGGTGGAGCTATCAAATGCAAGGAGGTTGCAATCTCAACTCTATAACATCGTAAAACAAAGTAACAATTTATAAAGGATCTTAAGGAATAGGGAAATGTCTGACAGAAACAGACAACAAAGAAAAGCACCAGTGTTTTTTCTAGTGAGTTTTCAGGACTGTGTGGTTCCTGGATTCCAGAGAACCCGGTTCCTTGACACGGAACAAGCAAACGAGCTCCAGCAGACAAGCATGTAAGTTAGTATGTGCTCCACGAGTAGGAGTCACGCTCTGCTACGGTTTGTTTTGTTCTGGCGCTGGAGATCTAACCCAGGGTCCTGCACACATGTCAAGCACAGGCTTTTCCACTGAACTCCTCTTCTACACCCTTATGACTACAATAGAGAAGCATCTGCTGAAACTGTGGTGTGTTTTCCCATATGTTAGGCTGTACTAGGGAAATGAGGGAGACCGAGAGTTTAGCTTAATGATACAGCACGTGCTTAGCATATGTGATGCTCTGGTTCAATATTCAGTGCGCGCGCACACACACACACACACACAAAGGCTTTCTGATGACTTCAGTTGATATTGCTGAGGAATCTAACACCCAGGGCCTCAGGGATATGAAACCAGTGCTCCACCACTTGCCTCTACCATTCTCTCACTAAATTTCTAGCTCGATATTATGTATGCGTGTATGCATATGCATGCCAACACATGTATGTAGAGGCCAGAGGGTGATATTGGTATCTTCTTCAATTGCTCTCCACCTTAATTAATTTTTTATTTTATTTTTATGTTTTTTGAGACAGGGTTTCACTGTATAGCCCTAGCTGTACTGGAATTAACTCTGTAGACGAGGCTGGCCTCCTGAGTGCTGGATTAATGGCTTGTGCCACCACTGCTAGACTCAGTCCTTCCTTCCTTCCTTCCTTCCTTCCTTCCTTCCTTCCTTCCTTCCTTCCTTCCTTCCCTCCCTCCCTCCCTCCCTCCCTCCCTCTCTTTCTTTCTTTCTTTTTTTTTTCGAGACAGGATTTCTTTGTGTAACAGTCCTGGCTGTCCTGGAACTCACTTTGTAGACCAGGCTGGCTTTGAACTCACTGAGATCCACCTGTCTCTGCCGCCCAAGTGTTGTAATTAAAAGTGTGCACAACCACTGCCTGTCTTGTTCTTGTTTTTTTGAGGCAGGCTTTCTAGCTGTCCCAGAATTCACAATGTAGAACAAGCTGGTCTTGAACTCACAGAGATCTCTGCCTCTTGAGTGCTGGGTGTAAAGGCGTGCACTACCTCACTGGCTCCATCTTAACTTTTGAGACCAAGTCTCTCACTGAACTCGGAGGTTCCTGATTCAGCTACAGTGGCTAGCCACCAACCCCAGGGGTTCTCCTGTGTCCTTCTTCCCAGTGCTAGGATTAAAGGTATGCATCCAAGTACTCATGCTGTTGTTGATGTTTTGTGTTTTTTGTTTGTTTGTTTGTTTGTTTCAGACTTGGATACTGAGGATTGACCTCAGATCTTTATGTTTGTATGATAAGCACTTTTCCAAACTAGATGTCTCTTAAGCCTATGAATAGCAATTTTTTTAAAGATTTATTTATTATGTATACAGTGTTCTGTCTGTATGTATGCTTGCTGGCCAGAAGAGGGCACCAGATCTCACTACAGATGGCTGTGAGCCACCATGTGGTTGCTGGGAATTGAACTCAGGACCTCTGGAAGAGCAGCAGTCAGTGCTCTTAACCTCTGAGCCATCTCTCCAGCCCAATGAATAGCAATTTTTAGAAACAACAACAAAACTCTCTTGGCCCCTCTTATCCCATGGAAACATGATTGATAGTAACTGAAAAAACTAAGACCTGCAAATCTGGTGAAGGCTCTGCACCAATTAAATCAGAAAATCAGGTGATTATACAAGGCCCCAGATTTACACCAAAATGTCAAGTTCTGTGAAGTATTCTCAGCCAAGAAGAAATCCTAATGAAGAGAGGATCCAATTTCATGACTTGAAATAAACTAATGATTGACAGTTCCTAGTTTGCTCCTTCTGTTAACAAACTTTGTCTTGTTTTGAGACAGGGTCTGGATAGGGCTAAGACCGTCCTTGAACTCTCATCCCTCCCAACTCAGCGTCCTAGGTGTGGGGATTATATATAGGCACGCATCACATTACCCAGCTATAGCAAAGATTTCTGAACCAGTACAACATACACTTATAAACACACATCACACTACCCAGCTATAACAAAGATTTATGAACCAGTACAACATACATTGCAAAACGGCACTTTCTTCTTCACTTCAAGGAAATGGAGCTGAAGTCTCTTACCAAGATGATAGAGATCCAGTTCCAGTCCGAGCCGGAAGCAGAACTGTGGTGAGTTCTGTTCAGTATTGCTTCTTTATTCCTTGCAGTTTGTCATAGAAAGCTGAACAGGCAAGTCGTTTTTTGTTTCAGGGAGAACAAATCATTCAAACCACACGAATGTCTTACAGAACAGCGGCAAGGTGGGCTTAGCGAGATGGGAGTGACATAGACTTTTTAAATACCCTAAATCCTTTGGCTGGCCCAGGATATGGAGGCGGTGGTGAGACGCTGTGTTTTCTGGTCAGTGCTACTGCCTGTTCATAGGAAGGTAGCCCTGTGTCCTCTGAAGGTGGCGATGAAGGCAAGACAACCTCCTCAGGGCTTCTGAAGATGATGGAGGGTATGTGTCTGGTCCTTCTTGTGTAGACAGCTGAGGAACTAGAGAGAGAGATGACATTTAGGTTTAAGAGAGGCAAATTTCTGGGTTTAGGTATGACATTAAACATTCTAGAAGCCAGGTAGTGGTGGAACACTCCTTTAATTCCAGCACTCTGGAGGCAGAGGAAGACAGATCTCTGGGAGTCTGAGGCTAGCCTGGTCTACACAGTGAGTTCCAGGACAGCCAGGGCTACACAGAGAAACTGTGCCTAGAAAAATTAAATGAAGAAAGAAATAAGGAAAGACAGACAGACAGACAGACTAAGAGCACTGAAGTCACACGTGGGTCAGAAACTGTACTCTGTCATCCTGTGATCAAAGTCAAGCTCTGTGACTCAGTTTCCTCTTCTCTAAACTGGGTAGTAAAGCTATCTCAGCAGAGTTGTTGGTGTGGATGGAGGAGGACATTTGATGCAATACTTCCAGCAGAGTGACTCTCTTTCCCTCCTGCTCCGGAAACCAAGCCCAAGCTTTGCTGTGAGGGAGCATGATGCCAAGCCACAGAGGTAGTCTCCACAGTCTTGCTGCTTGTTTGACCTTTGACCCTTCCCAAGCAGTATTTCTGTCATGTGATCTAGACATGGCCTGCCCTCCATGTTTATGTAACTCCTGAACCCTCTTTCCCAAGCCTCCCTTACTCTGGCCTCACTGTGTTTTTCATAGCTTTCTTCTCTGTAAAGTAGACAGAATTTTCAGGCCCCATTTGTCTCTCTGCTCTTTTTTCCACCCCCCCCCCAGACAGAGTCTCATGTAGCTCAGTCTGACCTCAAACTCACTGTGTGGTTAAGGATGACTTCGAACTTCTGCCTCTACCTCCCCAGTATTGAGATTATAGGCATGAAGTTCTGGAGGTTGCATCACTGACTCTATAAATGCTAGGCAAGGGATCTACAGCTGAGCTGCCCTCCAGCCTGCTTCTCTGCCTTGACTGGTATTGTTACACTCCAGTCATGCTGTCTCTTGCTTTGCTCCAGCTTTAGTGACCTAAGCCCATTTACGCTTGGACAAGCACATGGTAACGCAGTAGCCTAGAGTATAAAGACCTGGCTCCACCCTCAGCACTGAAACACAAAGTTTAACCTCCTCTTCTCTTCTCCTGTCTTCTCTTTGTATTAGGATTGAGCCCAGAGTCATGGGCATGCTAGAAGGCAAGTACTGTACCATTGGGCTACCATCTCTAGTCATTTTGAAATGTTGAGAAAGAGTCTTTTCAGGTTGCTGAGCTGGCCTTGAACTCATTATTGTAACTGGCCTTGAACTGGAAAACCTCCTGTGTTCTAGAACTGCAGATTTGTACCACCACACCTAAAAAAAAATCCTAACAGTTTCATGAAACTTCATCAGCCAGTGAAAACTTAATGCAACGTGGGTCTGATGTTTTCAGCCTATGGCTTTCCACTCTCTTCTGGGAATTGCAAACTACATTAAAAAAATTTAAATCTCATGTATATGTGTATATATACATGTATACATAAACATGCACACACATCTACACACACATGCCGCACTGTGCTTGTGGAAGTCCGAGAACAATTTTCTCAGCTGGTTCTCTCTATCATGTAGCTCTCCCGCTCTCTCTTTTTGGGGATGGGATGGGGTTCAAGACAGGGTTTCTCTGTAGCTTTTGAGCCTGTCCTGGAACTTGCTCTGTAGACCAGGCTGGCCTCAAACTCACAGAGATTTGCCTTTCTTTGCCTCCATGGTGCTGGGATTAAAGGTGTGCACCACCACCGCCAGGCTCATGGAGATCTCAAGGACTGAATTTGGGTCATCAGGATTGGTGGCAAGTTTACCTTTACCCACTGAACCATCTCGCCAGTCCAGAAGCTACAATGTAAATGTTAGTAAATTGAGCTGTTTAGACTGTGAAGTTGACTGACTATAAAGTATCAGGGCATCACCTAACCTCCTGTGGATAAAGGTAATATGATAATTAAGATTCAGACAAGTTTGACAAACCTCTAATCCATGTCTATAGAATTTTTTTTTAAATATTTATTTATTATGTATACAGTGTTCTGTCTGTGTGTATGTCTGCAGGCCAGAAATGGGCACCAGACCTTATTACAGATGGTTGTGAGCCACCATGTGGTTGCAGGGAATTGAACTCAGGACCTTTGGAAGAGCAGACAATGCTCTTAACCACTGAGCCATCTCTCCAGCCCCTGTCTATAGAATTTTTACCACTAAGGGACAGTTCACATAGGTCTAGGGAGTTGTCTTGCAAACCTGATGATCTGGGTTTGGGTTTCCAGAAGCTATGTAAAAGCCAGACACAGTAGCGAATGTGTGTGTAATCCCAGCATGCTCTTCGTCATTTCAAGTGTTTGTTGGACATTTGTCTGTCTGCTTTGGAGAAAAGTCAGCTCAAGCCCTTTATCTTATTATAAGTTGTCTTTTTTTTTGTTTTGCCCTTCCTTCTTTTTTAAAAAACACTGCTTTGTTTTATATCAGTAGCCAGTGCTCTTAACTGCTGAGCCATCTCTTTCAGACCCTCTTAGTTTGTCTTTAAAAATCTTAGAAATAAAATATTATTTTATCCTGTCAAATCCCAGTTTCATTTTTTCTCTCAGTCCTTCAGCCAGAAGTCAGGACTCAGCTCACATTCTCCCTGCATGTCCTCCAGCTTTCCTGTAGCCATCGAGTCTCACAGCTTCTCTCCCTCAGACAAGTCCAGACTCCCGACTCCTCTAGGAGTCCCACGCTGGCATCCCGATGGGCGCTCCTCTACTTCACAGATTCTTCCTGCTCTGCTGCGAATTGTTTAAGCAATGTGTCTGCTTCTGCCATGACTATGTTCCCAGGAGGGAACAAATTATCGCTTTCTTAAAAACCTTTTCCCCAAAAGAAACCTTCTATTTCTCTTGTTCCATGGAGATCACCTGTGACCATCTTCCCTAATGACCTAAATGACCTAATCCTATCATAATTTGGGCTCTCTCTCTCCCTTTCTCTTCATCCCATTCTCTAGTTAAATGGTAACCACTCTATGCCTTCTTTGAACAACTCTCCTTCACAAGCCACAGAATCCCCTGACTAGGAGGTATACAGCAGCAACGGCAGCCCGTAGCTAGACACCAGATGTGCAGAAGTTATACCGAGACTGGGGCAGATTCACTGTCATCTGCTGAGTTAAAAACAAACAAACAAACAAACAAAAAACAAAAAAAACTTACTTATGACATGTCTCAACTTAAATTTCATATGAGCATATGGATGCTGCGTAAATCTACAATCAGTACAAGCTCTGAACACGTTTTGTGCTTGGTTATTTTAGGATGGAATCATATCTTAGAGGAATATGCCAGAAAATATAAATCAATCAGTGAATACAAGTGTACAAGATGCTCAGTGTTTTGAAAATACTGTACCAGATTAACCAGTCAGACGAAGACTGTGTGGTTCCACTTATGTGAGTCAGAGTAGTAAGACTCCAGAGGCGGAAGGTAGGTTGGTGGTGAGCTTGGGCTGGGGGCTGGGGACTTGAGCAGAAGACGGGGAGTGGCGTGGAGCTGGAGATGATTGTAAAGCCACGTGAATGAGATGAGTTCTGAACTGGAACTACTTACTTACAAATAACGAAGAAGATAGATTTTATTTTATGTAAACTACTATCTCAAAATGCATTAAATCTACAATAGTGTTTTCTTTTTCTTTGTGTATGGTATGTATGTGTAGGTGTATGGTATGTGTGTGTATGTGCTCATGGGTGTATGTGTGTATTCATGTGCAGAGGACAACTTCGGGTGTTGTTCCTCAGGAGCTATTTTGGGGTGTTTCATTTGTTTGTTTGTTTGAGACAGGGTCTCTGATGTAGCCCTAGCTGCCCTGGAATTCTGAATGTAGATCAGGCTGGTCTTGAACTCACAGAGATTCATCCTGGTTTTTTTTTTTTTTGAGACAGGTCTCTCACTGAGACCAGTGCTCACCACATTCGGCTGTCCTGGCTATCCAGGGAGCTCTAAGCATTCACCTGTCTCGGCCCAGTTCTGGTACTGCAAACACACGCCAACACGTGCTGCCTTTTTACACGGGTGCTGGGGTCCAGTTCAGACGCTCATGCTTGCATTGCAGGCGTATTACTGGCTGGGCTATCGTAGTTATTTCTTTCAGTTTTTGTTTTTTTTTTATTTTTTTTTCGAGACAGGGTTTCTCTGTGTAACAACCCTGGCTGTCTTAGAACTCGCTCTGTAGACCAGGCTGGCCTCAAACTCACAGAGATCTGCCTGCCTCTGCCTTCCTCTGTTGGGATTAATGGCATGTATACCAGGAATTTTGTTTATTTCCATATTTTAATTTTTACTTTGTTAACATTTTAAAATGTGTGTGTATGTGTGTGTGTGTGCGCGCGCGCGCATGCGTGTGTGCGTGTAGGTCTGTGCATTTGAGTGCAGGCGCAGGTGGAGTCTTCTGGAGTAAGAGTTTCAGGTGGCTGTGAGCTTCCTAAAGTGGGTGCTGGGTGTCAAAGTTGGGTCACCTGGAAAAGCAGCATACACTCTTGCTGGCTGAGCTATCTCTCAGGACCCTAAAAACATTGCTTCCGTGGGCAAAAAATAGGATGAAAAAATTTGAAGACCTTAATCTTCATTATCGGTACCTTTTGAGACATTCATAGCAATAAAATAACTTAAGTGATTCTCTCAGATGAGCTAATGTGATCTCCTTTAAGCCTTCAAGAGGGAATGTTGTGCTGGCCTTGGACTGGCTATATTGCTGAGGATGCTCTTGCATTCCTGGTTGCTCAGTGCTAGGATGGCAGTCATGGTCCACTCCTGGCTTATGTGGGGCTACAAATCAAACTCAGGGCTTTGCATGCTAAGCAAGAACTTTACTAAGAGAGCTACATCCCTAGTCCCTGCGGAAAAATACTCTACTAAATGTTGTGGAGAAATGTGTCCTTTGTTTTTACTGATCCCATATAAAGATTTTTATTTTTAAATAAATAACCTTTAAAATGATAATTTTGGTGAACTAACAGCTAAAGTCATAAAACTGGCAAAAGAAAGAAAAAGATACTATGGAAATTTTTAGAAGAATCAAGGTTTTTGTTTTTGTTTTTCCTATTCATTTCAAAGATGAGGAAAACTTAATATACATCAAGGAGGGCAGGAGAGATGGCTCAGCCATTGAGATAGTACACTGTCCTTCCAGAGAACTCTTTGGTCCCCAGCACCCACACCAGTTAGCTCACAACTGCCTGTAACTCCAGCTCCAGGGGATTCAATGCCCTCTGGGATTCTCAGGCACTTGCACACATGTGGTGCACATAAATTCATACAAGTAAGCACATACACGAAAATAATATTTTTTTTAAATTAAGGAATTTAACAGGGCTTAGTAGTATGCCTGTAATTTCAGAATTTGGAATTGATTAATTCAAGGCCCACCTGGGATACAGAGTTTGAGGCCAGCATAGGTTACCTATAATGTCTCAAATGACAGAGAGCGAGGGGAGAATTTGCTTTCAGATCCATTATTAGATCCATTATTAAATAGTAGCAGAATTAGCATGAGCTTTGCCTTCTAATTACTAATTGAGTGTTCTTCCTCTGCAAATTATTCCATCATTTATTTATATCTGATATGAAATAATTAAGAACAGTCTTATCCCATTAGTCTAAAGAATGTAATTAATTTTTTCTGGTTTCATATTGGTCTACATTTAGACTTGAATGGTTGTATAATCATCTTTCAAAATGAACAAAATGCTGGGCAGTGGTGCTGCATGCCTTAAATCCCAGAACGCAGGAGGCAGAGGCAGAGGCAGGCAGAACTCTGTGAATTCGTGGCCAGCGTGGTCTACAGAGTGAGTTCCAGGACAGCCAGGGCTACAGAGTGAAACCCTGTTTTGAAAACACCTCCTCCTCAAATTAAAATGGGGACTGGAGAAATGGCTCAGTTAAGAGCACTGGTTACTCTTCCAGAGGACCTGGGTTCAATTCCCAGCACCCACAGGGCAGCTCACAAATGTTTATAACTCCAGTTCCATTGATCTGACATTCTCATTGAGATGTACATGCAAGCAAAACACAAATGCACATGAAATAAGAATAAATAAATTGTTGAATAAAAAATTTAAATGAACAAACACCTTCCACTTTTAACCAGTCCAGAGCGGGGCTATTGCTTGGTGGTAGAACACTTGCCCACCTGTGTGACAGACACTCGCTTCCCCTGTGTGAGGCCTGGGCTCAGTTCCGAGCAGTGGGAAAAGGGCATGGGGTCCCCATTATGAGCCTCTTGGTTGACTGAAAGTGTGCGCAGGAATACGTGAGCATCAGTACTAGCAGCCTGCTTAGCGCCTGGTGTTCCTTTCAGAAATGTCTCCACACTGAATCACCAAGATGTTCGACAACTGCATTAGCTTTTGTCAGCTTAATATGAGATGCAGTTACCTAGCTGGGCAGTGGTGGCGCACGCCTTTAATCCCAGCACTCAGGAGGCAGAGTCAGGTGGATCTCTGTGAGTTCGAGGCCAGCCTGGTCTACAGAGTGAGTTCCAGTACAGCCAGGACTGTTACAGAAAAAAATCCTGTCTTCAAAAAACCAAAAGAAAAAAAAAAACAGAAAAAAACCTAATAAAGAAAATAAAGAGGGCAGGCAGGCTGAACAAGTCAGGGAACAAAGCAGGAAGCAGAGCTCCTCCACAGCCTCTGCTTCAGTTCTTGCCTCCGGGTTCCGGCCTTGGCTTTCCCCAGTAGACTGTGACCCAGGATTTGTAAGCCAAACAAACCCTTTCCTCCTCAAGTTGCTTTTTGTCACAGCAGTAGAAACCCTAACCAAGACAGTTTTGCACATTATTATGGTCCCTATGAATTCTTATCGATCTCTGCTAATGTACTATTTAATCCTTAATTGGTAATAATTTTATTAATTTTAAGGTATCAATAATAGGTTAAAGCCAGTTCCCTCTCCCTTGAAACAAAGTGTCACATGTCCCAGACTGGCTTCCACTTTGTTATGTAGCCGAGGGTGATCTTGGAACTTCTGACCCTCTGGTGGCCTCCACCTTCGTAGTGCTAGTGTTTGTAGGCGTGTGCCACCACACCAGGCTTATGCAGTACTGGGGATTGAAGCCAGGGCTTCTTGCACACTAGGCAAGCACTCTACCAACTGAGTTATACCCTCAGTCCTTAAATTCTACACAGATCTATTGAGTTTATGACCCACTAAAGTTCTAGATGTCCTGTTTGTGAAAATAATGGGGCAGCGGTGTCACAAGGAGTGGTGTATGCATTCGAGGCAAGTGCTCCGCTGCTGAGTGGTATCTCTGGTCTATGTATGTAGCCCAGACTGGTACTGATCTTAAATCCTGTTTTCCTACCTCCCGACTGCTGGGACTGTAGATCTCAGCAGCTACACCTAGATCTTATATTCTTTCGAAGGATCTTAGAAATAGCATCTCTAGTACACATTTGCCACGACACACAGGTGCCCATACACACATACACTAAAGAGATAAATACATTTAAGACATTTTAGAAATAGCATCATTGGATTGTTAATGTGGATGCTAAAACATCAAACATCTGTCAGCCTAGATGCTGGGAAGACAGAATTAGATGTAGTGTGGGCCCTTAACAGGCCCTGGAGTAGGGAGAGGACACTAACAGAGAAACTGGCAAAATATAAGTGTAGAGTTTAGTTAATGATGATAGTCCAGTGTGTGTGTGTGTGTGTGTGTGTGTGTGTGCGCGCGCGCGCGTGCGCGCGCCGCATGTGTGTGTCAGAGGTCAGCATCGGTGTTTTTCTCAATTGCACTCCACCTTGATTTTTGAGACGGGGTCGCCCCCTGACCAGGAATTTGCTGATCAAGCTGGGCTGGCCAGCAAGCCCTAGGAAGCCTCTGTCCCCACCTCCCGGAAGTTGGACTACAGGCTCATGCTGCCCCACCAAGCTTTTCTAACTGCTGGTGATCTGAACTCAGGACTTCTGCTTGTGCAGAAAGCAGTTGACTACGGAGCCACACCTCTGGTCATACTTCCTTAGTCTTGACAGATCTAATATGGTAACATAATTGGAGCTCATGGGAGAAACTGAGCAAAGGGTGAACAAAAATTCTCTGAACTGCCTTTGCAATCTTTTTGACTATTTAGGATTGTTCTAAAGTAAAAACCCCAAAACAAACAGTTATCAGTCTGACCCACTAAAATAACAAAACAGAATGTACATGAGTTAAGTTAATGTTTGACTTACCCCAGGTATGACTGCCTATTACACTTGGTGATGCACAGATAGTAACCAAATAGGCCAAAAATAACCAGGAATACTCCAGCAGCGATGAGTCCAGTCAGAAGGCCCATAACATCTATCTTCTCTTTGTTAGCATCTTAAAAGAAAGCAGTAAGTGGAATATATACACATTAGAGTACTATGCTGCGGTAAAAAACAATGACTTCTCGAATTTTGCATGCAAATGGATGGAAATAGAAAACACTATCCTGAGCGAGGTAACCCAGACCCAAAAAGATGAACATGGGATGTACTCACTCATAATTGGTTTCTAGCCATAAATAAAGGTCACGGAGTGTATACCTGGTGAACCTAAAGAAGCTAAATAAGAAGGTGAACCCAAGAAAAAACATATAGTTATCCTCTTGGCTAAGGGAAGTAGATAAAATTGCCGGGGAGAAAATTGGGATCTTGGGGGTGGGGTGGGTTGGGGATAAGGGGGGACGGGGAGAGAAAAGTGAGAAGGGGAGGATTGGGGGAACTTGGGGAAACAGGAAGATTGGGATAAAGGAAGGTTGGATAGGGGAGCAGGGAAGCACATATCTTAGTTAAGGGAGCCACCTTAGTGTTGGCAAGAGACTTGAACCTAGAGTGGCTCCCAGGAGCCCAAGGCGATGTCCCCAGTTAGTCCCTTGGGAAGCTGAGGATAGGGAACCTGAAATGACCCTATCCTATAGCAATACTGACGAATATCTTTCATATCACCATAGAACCTTCATCTGGTGATGGATGGAGATAGAGACAGAGACCCACACTGGAGCACTGGACTGAGCTCCCAAGGTCCCAATGAGGAGCAGATGGAGGGAGAACACGAGCAAGGATGTCAGGACCACGGGGGGTGCACCCACCCACTGAGACAGTGGGGGCTGATCTATTGGGAGCTCACCAAGGCCAGCTGGACTGTGACTGAAAAAGCATGGGATAAAACTGGACTCTCTGATCATGGCGAACAATGAGGACAGATGAGAAGCCAAGGTCAATGGCAAGGGGTTCTGATCCTACTTCATGATCCGGCTTGGTGGGAGCCTAGCCAGTTTGGATGTTCACCTTCCTAGACATGGACGGAGTGGGGAGGACCTTGGACTTTCCACAGGGCAGGGAACCATGACTGCTCTTTGGATTAGAGAGGGAGGGGGAGAGGAGTGGGGGGAGGGGGAGGGAAATGGGAGGCTGGGAGGAGGCGGAAACTTTTTTTTTCTTATTCTCAATAAAAAAAAAGAAAGCAGTAAAAGAAGTTAATAGCATGAATGAAAAGCATCCCTATAATTTCAATAAATTTCACACATTATTAAGGAGAATTTCATAATTGATAACTGACTTATTTATTTATTGTTTTTTCGAGACAGGGCTTCTCTGTGTAGCCTTTGCTGGCTCTGTAGACCAGGCTGGCCTTGAACACACAGAGATCCTCCTGCCTCTGATTCGAGTGCTGGGATTAAAGGTGTGCACAACAATACTGCCAGGCAAGATTTATTTATCTTAAAGTCTTTGTGTTAGAGACTCTACCTGAAAAAATTAAATAATATTTGTTATTTAAATTTATTTTTCTCTTTTTGAAAAATATTTATTGTGTGTGGGCATGTTGTCATGACACACGTGTATGTCAGAGGACATGTGAGGTCGTGTTGTCATGACACACATGTGTGCATGTCAGAGGACATGTGAGGTCGTGTTGTCATGACACACGTGTATGTCAGAGGACATGTGAGGTCGTGTTGTCATGACACATGTGTGTATGTCAGAGGACATGTGAGGTCGTGTTGTCATGACACATGTGTGTATGTCAGAGGACATGTGAGGTCGTGTTGTCATGACACACGTGTATGTCAGAGGACATGTGAGGTCGTGTTGTCATGACACACGTGTATGTCAGAGGACATGTGAGGTCGTGTTGTCATGACACACGTGTATGTCAGAGGACATGTGAGGTCGTGTTGTCATGACACACGTGTATGTCAGAGGACATGTGAGGTCGTGTTGTCATGACACACGTGTATGTCAGAGGACATGTGAGGTCGTGGTGTCATGACACACGTGTATGTCAGAGGACATGTGAGGTCGTGGTGTCATGACACACGTCTGTGCATGTCAGAGGACATGTGAGATCGTGTTGTCATGACACACGTGTGTGCATGTCAGAGGACATGTGAGGTCGTGTTGTCATGACACACACGTGTGCATGTCAGAGGACAATTTTTGAAAGTTTGTTTTTGCCTACTGCCATGTAAGTCCTGAGAGTTGAACGTGGGTTTGGTGGCAAGCATCTCTACCTACTGAGCCATTTTGCCAGCTCTTACATGATATTTCTTAGACTCCTAATTATGTTTATTATTTTATTTACTTAAGTAAGTCACATTATATGAAGAATATCCAACAGTAAGTGCGATAAACATGTCCTTGGCTCGGCTAGACGTAGGTGGCTACATTATTAGGCAGCCTTGTCACAGTCCCTGCCGGAGGTGCCAATCTAAGACGAATGAAAGAATCAAAGGCAAGACTAATTAAATAAATGACCAAAATGCAGCTAGGAGAAACAGGTGGAAGGCATTAAAAAAAATTGGTTATCAGGAACAGAATGACGATCAAGTAGGACCAGTCAGTTTTACTGCTCTGTAGCAAGCTGGAATAACTATTGTTGATAATCTAGTGGATATTTCAAAATAGAAGATTTTTATATTATCACCTCAATAAATGGCAAATGTTTGATGTGACAGATATGCTAACTGTCCTGATTTGATTACCACGCATTGTATATAAGTGTTTAAACACCACACTGTATTCCATAAACAGGTTCAATTATTATGTATCAAACCATTATAAAGAAAAGCAAGCAGTTTGAGATGACCACTACGGGTAAGACAGGGGCTTTCCCTTTCCCAGAAGCTACGACTTCTAATACTGTCCTCCAGGTGTGTTTCTTTTTCTTCTCTCGGCGTTGCAGACTGAACCCAGGCTAAGCATGTGTTATACCACTAAGATACATCTTCAGTCTTTCTCTTCTTCCTGCTCCGGTGTATGGGGGTAGGGGGGTGGGGCTGCGATCTCCTAGGCTTCATGCAATCACTTCACTGCCTCACTGTGGGCACGCCCGCACCGAGTGTGTTTGCGTGTGCGTGTTCCTTTCTGGAGATCAAGTCCAGATGCATGAATTTGTAGCTAAGCACTCTATATATGCTGCAGCCCCAGCCCGACCTTCAGCCTTACCCAGCAATCTCATTTACCTGTCATAGGTATTTTGTTCACTTGTAATGCTAACAAAAGATAAAGTTGTATTATAAAGCTGAAACTCACAGAGTCCTACTTTTGTGCAAGTTTTAACTTAGCCCAGCGGCTGAAACAACCTTTAAGCCCATTATCTCATTTCCCTAATATCTCACCAAACTTGATTTTCAGTATGTAAACAAAGAAGGTAGCCTCTGTCTCTCACAGCTCAGCACATAGTTGAGAAACCGTCCTCGGTATGCAGGTTGAGCAATAGCCAAACTCAAACATGAAAACGCAAATGTGTTACAGTGGTGAGAGGTGAGGACGGCGCGAAAGTCAGGAGTTCACCTTACCTGATCGTGTGGTCGGTCCTTTCAGCGAATAGTCCCGCCAAAATGTAATCTGCGGGAAAAGGAATTCACGTTTCTGTAACTAGGATTTCATTTGTTCCCGATGTCCTAGATTGGAGGGTGAGCTCTTGGCGTGTGACAGGCAGGAGCCCAGTTCAATCCAGCTGAAGGCACTGACTCGGACTCGTGGTGCTGTGTCTGCTGTCTGGTTAACTGTGAAAGGATCGTGCTGGTCCCGGGTCTCCACTGCCGGGCCCTGCCAGTCTCTTTACCCGGCTGCCCATCTGTGAGAGGCTGGCTCTCTGCACTGGGGTGGGGGGCTCCGTTTCCTAGGAGAGTTGAGATTACTGACCTGCAAATTTATCTCTGAGGCTGTCCAAGTTCTATGTGCTTTGAAAGAATAGAAGAGTTTTGAGGGACCATGATTAAATTAGAACTTTCTCTCTCTCTCTCTCTCTCTCTCTCTCTCTCTCTCTCTCTCTCTCTCTCTCTCTCTCTCTCTCTCTCTCTCTCTGTCTCTCTCTTGTTTATCAAGACAGGGTTTTGCTATGTGGCCCTGGCTATCCCGGAGCTCACTCTGTAGACCAGGCTATCCTCAAATTCAGAGATCCACGTGCCTCTGCCTCCCGAGAGCTGGGATTAAAGGTGTAAGACACCACTACCAGCTTAAAATAATTTTTTTAAACTATGAAAAACATAATTAAATCCCAACAGGCACAACTACAAAATACATTCTTTGTTTTCCCACTTCCTACATGTAGTAAACATTTGCAGGAAATGAGTGACTCGAAAAGGTTATGGAAAAATGAATAACTAGGTTCCCTCAGTAAGAATTTGGAGGATCCTTGGGGAACTTCTTATTCAACCAAGAGCAAAGGAGGATGGACGCCTGAGAAAGGAGTGTGGGAGCTGGCAATATTTACATATGGAGGAAGTGAAGCACTTAGCATTTCTCCAGAATCCAAATGACAGCAGTGATACCTGTCTGTTTTCTGTATTATCTAGATTAACAGGCAGGATTTAATGGAGACTTAAAAACAAAACAAAACAAAACACTGGGGGTTCAGTGGATTAGGAGCACTTTGTTGCTCTTGCCAGAGGACCCAGGACTGGTTCCCAGCATCCACCCTGTGGCTCACAATCATTCATAACTCCAGTTCCAGGGGACTGGGAAACCTTCATCTGACCTCCTCCAGCACGAGCCAGTCTCTGATGCACAGACATACGTGCAGAAAAAGCACTCATATGCATAAAAAAATTGGGAATTAATTTTTAAAAAAAGTCTTTTTCCCCATTTAGACCAAGAATGGTGGCACATGCTTTTAATCTCAGCATTCAGGAGACAGAGTCAGGAGGTTCTCCACTTACCAAGACTCTCAACTCAAAAAGCAAAAGACAAAACCAACAAAACAACAACAACCAAAAACACCTTTCCTTAAACTTACACAGACAGATCAATAAAATCCTGAACACGAGAGGCCGCTTTACACCCTCAGTGCAGAGGCTGCGAATGCCTCCGTGGTGGAGAGAGCTGCTGTGCAATCCCAAGGACCAGGGTTCAGACCCCAGCACTCACATGACAAGCAGTACATACATACACACACATAAAGAAAAGAAACCTTTCTTTTTGCTTTTGTTTTTTGAGACAGGGTTTCTCTGTGTAATAGTCCTGGCCGTCCTGGAGCTAACTTTGAAGACCAGACTGGCCTTGAATTCTCTAAGATCTGCCTGCCTCTGCCTCCTGAGTGCTGCAATTAAAGGCTTGTCCCTGTCCCCCACCCTCATCCCTTCACTCTTAACCCTGGCTATAAAATAAAATAAATCTTAAAAGGAAAAGAAAAAACAAACACATATCAGTCTCAGTGTCTGGCACATAGGAGACTGTCAATAAATAGTTGAACTATAGATACAGGCAATCAAAAAGGTAAGATTACTAAGAAGAAAAATTGCGCTTAGTTTTAAATGATTGAATTTCAAGTCAAAGTACTAACTAATGATGTCTTAGTTGCTAGGAATGGAACCCAGGGGCTTGTGCTATCTAGTGCTGTGGCCTCTGAGTCATCTTCAAATAACATTGTGAACTGAAATCCCCTGTTGCCTGAGACTATTTTTGAATATAATAAACACTGAACACGTGGCCAGGCACAGTAGTACACGCCATTAATTCCAGCACTTGAGAGGCCAAGGCAGGAGGATCTCTGTGAGTTTGAGCCAAGCCTGGTCTACATAGCAAGTTCTAGGATATCCAGGGCTACACAAAGAAACTATGTCTCAAGTGAACAAACAAACAAACAAATAAATAAAAAATTTTTTAAAAAGTTAAACAAAATCATCACATAGCTTGTAATTTGCTAATTACTATAAATGAAAGCTGATTAAACACAAAGTCTACTTGAAATAGGCTTCCTTGGCACTTTAAGAAGTGCAAAGAGGCCGGGCGGTGATGGCGCACGCCTTTAATCCCAACACTTGGGAGGCAGAGGCAGGCGAATCTCTGTGAGTTCGAGACCAGCCTGGTCTACAGAGCTAGTTCCAGGACAGGCTCCAAAACCACAGAGAAACCCTGTTTCGAAAAAACAAAATCAAAAAAAAAAAAAAAAAAAAAAAAAGTGCAAAGAGGTAACAGCCATACAGTTTTGATTTTGTTTAAAGCACACAGGTCTCTGACATATTTGTCGCCACTTTCTCAAAGTACACCGAAATAACCTTCCAGGTGACTGACATCCCTAGGCAAATTACCGTTTTCTCGTCATCCCTGAAGATCTCTTTGGCTTCTTCATAACTGCAGAACTCCTCGTAGCATTCTCTCTCCAGGTCCCCGGGAGTGAAGAGCTCTAAATCAAACCTGTTGTACAGGAGCCGGCGGTGCATGAAGACGTTTGCTGCTGCTTTTGACGCAAAGACTGAAAGAGAAATACAAAAAGATTTCAAACACAATTAAGCTAAGGCAGAAACTTCCTGTTTTAACTGGAGGAAAAACCATTCTCTTGATATGGGTAAACTATACCAGCTTTTCCCGGGTAGCTTTTAGTTTAGCCCCCCAAATAACTTTGGTAAAACGGCTTCCGGGAAATCTTGGCAATTCCGGACAATACTTGAGTTGTTTATGCCCCAAATTATTAACATAATAAAGCTTATTAAAGTTTCAGTTACCCTTCCCAGTGATTATTTTTTTCCTGAAAATAACAGATGAGACTACTTCTGATTTTTCCTGCTTTTCTTTTTAGTGCTATAATCCAACCTAGGGCCTTAATGATAAGTTAGTATGCATTTTTGGGCTGTATGTGTGATGTGTGTGTTCATGTGTTGGTACACCTACCCATTTGGAGGACGGAAGAGGATGTTAGGTGCCCTGTTCTATTACTTTCCATCTTACTTCTTTGAGGCAGGGTCTCTCACCGAACCCGAAGCTTGTAACTTTGGATATGCTGGCTGGTCAGCAAGCTCCCAGAATTCACCTGTCTCTACTTGCCTGGCCTGGGGTCACAGGTGCACAAGTAGCCATTCTTGGTGTTTACATGGGTTGGTGCAGATCAAAACTGAAGCTGTCAGGCTTGCATAGCAGGAACTCAGTCACTAAAGTCACCTCCCCAGCCCCAAATTTACATTTTTATATGGAAGGTTTTATATAATCTGATACTAAAAGACAGAATTCTAAACTGTGTATAAAATTATAGGCTCATTAGAAGATTAGCTTAGAGCTACTCAGTTTATCCCGAAGGAATGGCTCCTTTCACCCATGCATCTCACCCTCCAGACAGGCATTCCCAGCACCTTGTGGGATTTCTTCCACACTCGCTGAGAGACCAATGGGAAACACAATCAGGTGAAGCGCATGACAGGACGAAGCGGGGCAAGCGTGACCTGAAAGTCAGCCTTGGCTACACAGCGAAGTGAGAAAAAAAAAAAGTGTGTGTGTGTGCTTGTGCGTGCGTGTGTGTGTGCATGTGTGTGTGTGTGGGGGGGGG